CATGTCCTGGCATGTCGTAACGCAATTACAAAGTTTTAAGAGGCTCTGGTATCGCTACAGACATTCTTATCGGTTAATTTAACAACAAGCCATAAGAAACCCCACAAAGGGAAGTATTAATTTGATCGACAGAGTCTTTTAATGATGTGTCCAGGATCATATAACCTGGTGGGAAAGGGGGGGGGAGCTGGCGACGCCTCCATCAGGCAGCCATGCAGATCCACTTCCAAGACTGCCATTGAAAAGGAAAAGGAAGAAATAAGGTTTCTAAAGTCCATGTTTCTAGGTAACCAAGGCCAATCCCACGAGGCACATCCTGCCCAGTCATTTGAGGAGGAATTATCCGCAGAGAGGGCAGAATACAGGAGCCGGTGGATCGTCTGGAGATGGACATTCCCAGGCCTCATTTTCAGAAATGAGAGCAGGGGCCGGGCTGTCATCAGGCAGTATCCTGTCTCTCCTTCCTTCCACTCCCCCCCCCACAAAAGGTCTACTCTAAAAGACAGCCAGCAGGCTGTTTCGAACTCAGATCTTCTACATGATGAATATCGGGAAGCCCGCATTTGCAAACTGCCTTCCAGACCACCCGTTATTAACCTGTTGCTGGTTTGGTGTGTCACGGCCCGGTGTGAGTTACGACAGCCTGGCAAGGTGGGCCGCTGCTCAGGCTGGTCCCAAAACGAAACAGATGGAAGTGAAGGTTTCTTGCTGGAGTCCTCTCGGCCAAAAGCAGGCACCCGATTATATGCAGGAGACTCGCGCTCCCTTTCCCTGAGTGGAACTTTTAAAAGACATAAAAACCTTTGGGATTCTTACATTCATAGGCACCCAGGTTAAAATAGGCACCCAAGTCTCGGATCAGGGCCTTGCGCCCATTTCTTACACTGTCCTCCAGGGCAAAGAGTAGTGGAGGGGAAGGGATTTTGACCCCAGCCAGAATCTACTTTACCTCCCAATGAAAAACGATCTATTTTAGCTATTCTTTCTCAAAGCCAAAGGGAGAGAGACCACCAGGGTAACGTGTCATTTGGGTCTCCCCAGCTGCTGCTTTGCAAGGGTGCCGGGAGACCATGTCTAAACCTACTTAGGAGAATCGGCTTCAGCCCCCTTGGAGAGAGCTTGTAAAGTTCGGGCTGAAACCCAGAGCGGCTCCATACACATACCTTTGACCTGAGCCACCTCCAGCTTTGGCTGTCGGTGCATCCGTTCGTATTTTCTTTTCCAAGCCATGGAAATAATTTTTAAAAGCACAATAATTTGGGTTTAAATATAGCCCTCCTGACACAGCCTGCTTAAATTCCAGGGTGCCACTGCACAGTGCAGATTTTACTCCTCCCATCTGCCTCCCAAAGTGTGGCAGGATGACCTGTGGCGATACTCCATTTTGTTTCCAGATACTGCTCGGTTCAAACGCGGTATATCAGCTGCCGGTTAAATTATTTAGCAGCCAAGGCCGTCGGTCAGAGTTGCCTTCGTTCTGAGTGTTAATCTGCATTTCCCTCGTTGGGGATGTAAGCCAGGGCGTCCTCATAAAACCCTCGTCTCCAGCTGGGTCTTTGGTGCGCGGATGTAATTACCGCGGTACAATCATGAACTCGCAGGGTACCGGGGGTCACCTGCAATGAGGCATACAGCTGTCTCACAACAGCAGGCCACTTCTCAAAATGGAGTCGAAAAATAAAGATATTACATGGATTAGAACTCGGGCCCCAGGGGAAATCTCGATTGGGCAGAGAGCAAATGCCAGCCGTGTGCAGGAGCCGTGCACAGCAGAAGCCCAAAGTTGGGGTGAGGTGGGGGGAGAGAGAAAAATGCAGGCTTTTCCCAACCCAATAAATATTTTTGTTACTTGGAAGATTCATGCACGGCCGAGGTTCCAGTGTGATGCATCAGCCACGCTTAACAATTGCATGGAAAAATCCCAGCCACCCCTTCCCACCCCATAATGCAGCTTGGCTTTTGAGCGGTGTGGACCCCCAGTATCTAAATTTCGGAATATATAGGAATGCACCAGTGGGGCGGAACTGAGCAGCCAACGTTGGTGGCTCTGAATTGGCCACAAATCCGGGTTTTCGATCCCAATTGTTGAAGAGCTCTCCAGAGCCCTGGACCATTTGCCTGACATGGATTCAGAAGATTGGATAGCTTTTTCCCCCCAGTGAAAGTCTGGAAGAAACCCTGGACTGGATCTGTCACCCCGCTGACCCTGGAGCCGCCAGCATTTGCTGGATTTGAGACAGATTCGTACACCTTCTAGCCACTTTAAGTAGCGTGTTTCAACTCGCCGTTGCAAGCAGCCACGATGGGGGCCACTCCTGGCTACACATCCACCCCAACAGTAAGTCATTTGAGGCGTGTTTAGATAGATCTGCTCTTTCTCTCTTTCCCATCAAACTCAGAGCAGGAAAGGACATCAAATCTTTACAATCCTCTCTCCTTTCGCTTTTTGCACCAGGGCTTTCTCTCCCCACTCGTACCCTTTCTCCCTCCATCACCACCCTTTGTAACCCTGTGCCCAGAACATGGTCACCTTATGGATTTGGACTATCAGTGCCCAGATTCCTCAGTCAGCTGTACTGATTGGGGATTCTGGGAGTTGGAATTCAAAACATGAGGTTTCTCAGTGCTAACCAGGCATGATGGAAGCCTCTGTCAAGGGCTACAGAGTCGGAACCGACTCATACCGATCCTAACAGTTCCATGGCCCCCGTGAGTTTCCATGGCCAAGTGGAGATTCAAACCCAGGCCTCCAGAGTCCAAGCCTGTCATTCTATCCACTACACCACACGGGGTACCACGGTGGACGAGAGGTGACCCTAAAAGCTTGGGGCAGTTGCCCTCTGCGTGGGTCCCGCCAGGCCAGGTGGATTCTCTGAATTGTAGTCCGTTCCAAAAGAATCAACCTTTATAGCACAAGAAAGGATTTAAAGAAAAGCCTTGAAACTTTGTGCCTGCACGTCTTTCTTCTCGCTCTCTCCTCTGAAGCTGACCAGACAAAAACTGTTCCAATATAGGATCTGATTCTGCTAGTCGCCTGGGGCGATCGTTCTTCTTTGTCTGTCCAACCATATTGACTCTCCCTTGACCGTTTCTCTCTTGGGCAGAGAATCAGCAGATTAAAAACACAACAGGATGGGATTTCAGGGCTCATCCCAAAAAAGTGAGGATCGTTCCCCCCCCCGGATCACTCACTCCAAGCTTCTATAACTATTTCAACTTAAATGTAATCTGATTCTTCCAATTTGAACCTCCACCCCATAAAATAGCCATCCTCTTCTCATCTCACTGTGTCCTCCCCCCTTTTCTGCCCTGTGTTCACCCCTTTTGTTATCTTTCCCTTTCCCCAAGGAGGGGGGGTTCGATGTAAGGCACCCCAAAGATGACATCACGGTGGATGTTGAGGGAATTTGAATTCTGCACATCCTCCCGTAGGGACTAGAGGCTTGTTCGAGCAAAGAAACAGACAGGGATGCTGCATCTGAAATCAACTGGGTGCCAAATTAAATGGAATTAAATTGAATAAAATAAAACAGACCCTGTTCCCAAGTGAAGGAAAATAATCCTGCAATGGAAGGAAAGCAGATTGATTTGGATATACAAGTAACATCATGTAGATCCATTAAACAAATCCGAATCAATGGATGATGAAACCACCTTTTAAACACAAGCTAATACTATGTGTAGAGACCTGTAGGGAATCTACAAAAGGGGGGAGGAACAGAGTTCACCATCCAGGCTCGGTTGAGTTGGTTTTTTTAATCAAAATGTGAAATCCGGCTGCCGCGTACACTTGCCATCACCGCACTTCCCCCTTCTGACACCCTCGTGGCTTCCCTCCTCCACGCCCCACCCTTGGGTATCTCCCTTACACAAACTCCGCCTTGCATGAGGGAGGAGCTTCCTTCCCCGTCTTCTGTGATGTCACAGAAGGGCTGGCCAATGGCAAATGAGAATAAGGGGCCTGCTCGCAGAAAAGGCCCCCTCCCCGCCCGGCCTCTCCCTCTCCGGTTTTGCATGAAAGCTCAGCTGTTTCGCCAGGGACTAGCAGCGCAGAGGGACCAAAAGCTGGGGCGGATGCAGCTGCTCAGATGGAGGCCGATGCAGTCCACAAGAAACCCGAGGGCCTGAGAGCCTGTTCCTTTAAAAAACAAAACAAAACAAAAAGGGCTGTGTGTGTTGGAGCTTCCCGTTTTCTCTTACTCCGGTTTCCCATCTCATCCCTTCCCTCCGGGAAACCCAAGTTCCATATTGGATAAAACCAGTCCCGTCTTGGAAGGATCAGGACCATGACGCTCCATAAGGCAGCGGAGGCACCAGAGAGGAGAGCAACCCTTCCACGTCGCGGGTGGGAGACATCCCTCTCCCCCACCCCACCCAAAAAACGCAACTCCATGGAGTAGCCGTGAGTTCAAACCCACTGGTCAGATGTGTGGGGTCAGCCAACGGCCCACCCGGCGTGGGTCCCATGTCCTCGCCAGCGTCGTTTCCCGTGCCACCCCTGGGCCGCCGCCTTCGGCACAGGTCCCGCCGAGCCAGGCAGATTCCCTGAATCGCTACGGGTTCTGAAGCCTTTTATTGTGCAAGAAAATCAAATCCTTTAAAAAAAATAAAAGCTGAAGGATCCAAAGGGCGGGGAGGAGGGCAGCAAAGGCAGCGGCGGATCCGGGAAGGCATGGCGTGACATTCCTGTCGGCAGCCCACGAGAGGGCATCATCCACGTTCTGCGTCCTCCCCCACGGCAGCTGCGAAGCACCGGTTCCTCTTAGCCAGCGGGCTGGTGCCGGCCCCAGCCCGCCCCCTTGGCTACGGCCCCAGCCCCAGCCGGCCAAGCTCCCGTCAAGTCCCCTCGCCCCCTCTTAGCCAGCGGGCTGGTGCCGGCCCCCTTGGCTACAGCCCCAGCCCCAGCTGGCCAAGCTCCCATCAAGTCCCCTCGCCTTCCACGAGGCGGCCCACGGAAGGTTCGCGTGGCCCTCTCCGACGCGAGGAGGGCCGCNGGTGGCCCACGGAGGGTTCGCGTGGCCCTCTCCGACGTGGGGAGGGCCGCTTTCCTCTGGATCACACAGCTGGACCTGCCGCCGGGCTCAGTCCACCAAGAGCAGAGCCCAGCCAACGCAGGAGGGAGGCTCCCCGGGCACAGCCCCGTTGCAGGGGGAGCGCCCACCGCTCCCGCGCCTGCCCCCCTGGGCTAAAGCGCGCCCACGGGTGCGAGGTGTCCGAGGGGGAGCGCCTACGGCTACGCCATCTCCTGGATCCTGTGGATGTAGCGGTGGAGTCCCTCCGGGTCCTGGAGGGCCACGTCCTGGCAGACCCACTCCAGGTCCTCCTCCTCCTCCTCGTCGGCGATGGGGATGGCGTTGTAGGCGGCCAGCTCGTCGGAGGGCATCGTGGCGAAGGTGGTGAACTTGACCCGCTTGCGCTTGGAGGTGGGGGAGTTGAGGGGGTCCTCGCTCTGGTCGCGGGTGGAGCCTCCCGAGGAGCCGTCCCCCCGCCCGTGGACCTGGCTCTGGACGCTGGTCTGCGAGGAGCCGCTGCTGTGGTGGTCGCTGTGGCAGCAGGTCTGGACGTTCTCCAGAGGGTTGCCGGGGCTCTCGGGCGGCAGGGAGAGCTCGTTCTGGGCCCTCAAGGGCTGCCCGTTGCCCAGGAAGACCCAGTGGTGGGAGTGGTCCAGGTTGGTCTGGCCCTCCGGCGGGATCCGCTTGTGCCGGTACTTGAGGACGAAAACGATGCAGTTGATGAGGAAGACCAGGATGGCCAGGCAGAAGACGCCCAGGAGGGCGTACATGCCGATCTCCAGGTCCGTCAGCCCCCGAGGCACCTGGACGTAGCCCGTGGGGATGGTCGGGAAGTCCTCCGTGGGCAGAATGGCGCTCGGCCCCCGGCTGTCCTGGCTGGGCACCAGGCGCCACTCCGCCTCCCCCCGGGGGGTGGTGCCCACGCCGCCCCTCTCCCGCCCAGGCCCGCTGGGCGTTTGGACCGGCTCGTAGTCGTAGGTGGGCTCCTCCTCCGAGCTGAAATGGACCCGGACGCTGGCCGAGGCCGTGGCCAGCACGCTCCGGCGCTTGGTCTTCTGGCAGACCTCGCAGATGGTCAGCTCGGCCCTCACCAGCTCGCCCGTCCCTTCGCCTTCGGCCCTCAGCAGCGGGAAGGCCCGGTCGGGCACCACGGACACCACCGCCCGGTCCTGGCTGCTCAGCACCAGGGTGTAATCCTTCGGGTCGTACAAGGAGAGCGGGGCCGTAGTCCCGTCGCTGTAGGACAGCCAAAGGCTCAGCAAAGCCTCCTGGAAGGGGGGGGGGAAGGCAGGGGTGGGTGGGGGATTAGAACAAAGTCAGTGGAATTAAGATGCCCCCTCCGCTTAAACCGGGGGACCCTCAAAATAATTTATTGATTAAAAGTATTTGTACGCAAAGTCAGTGGAATTAAGATTCCCCCTCCGCTTAAACCGGGGGGCCCTCAAAATTATTTATTGATTAAAAGTATTTGTACACTGCCTTTCTCCCAAAGGATCCAAGGCAGCTTACTGAAAGAAACAAAGTTAAAAGTGAAAATAATCATTAGAATATTGAAAAGGAATGAAAACAGATATATTAAACCTTATCAATGAGAACAATATGCGAAAGCCCAACTAATGCAACAGAATATAGCAAGAACTCCGTATGCACAGAGGATTGATTTCAAGCCTCCCCACAGAAGCTGAAAACGACAGATAATAGCAAATGCTGAAAAAAAATTAAAAATTCCAGAAACAAGTATTTTCATTGTGTATTTACTGGAACTGGCCACTAGAGGGAGACAGATATATTCTTCAACAAGAATACACAGCATGTTCTCTTCCTCTAGTGGCACATTTTGGTAAGTACATCATGAAAATGCATGTTTCTAGTTTTTTTCTTTTAATATTGCTCATATTTTCAGATTGTGGATAAGTGAAGCAGTTCATACTGATCACGTGGATACAGGAGTCCTACTGTACAATAATCCTAAAAATTCCCTTGGTCAACCAGTCATTGAAAGGGGAAGCTTCCCTGAAGAGAAAGGTTTTTTCCTGCTTGTGGCAGGACAACCAAGATGGGGCCAGCTGGGCCTCCAGTGGGAGGGAGTTCCAGAATCTCTGGGAGCAGCCACAGAGAAGGCCCCCTCCATCAAACACACCTGTGAGGGTGGTGGGAACGACTGTGACACACCATACAGCGGATGTCCCTTTATTATAGATCACAAGGAAGCCAAATTCAGCTCTTTGTATATTTTGGAACACCACCACCCATCAGTCCCGTGGGCAAGAGGAGGGACACATGGGATAGGCAGTCCAAAAGAAAAGGAGAGCCACCGGGCATAGATCCACTGATCCTCCACTGCATGCGGGACACGAGATGCAAACCTTCGAAGAGTTTTGCACCTCCTGGTTAAGTCTTCGTAATATCCCCCTTCCGCACCGGGATGTGGCTCTGGCTTCCCCTTCTGGGAATTTCCCTGACGAGAATTCCCTACTCAAGAAGGGCATCAGCCCGGCCCGCCTTTACCTGCTTGGAGAAGTTGAGGGTCTGCTGTGCGGTCGTCTTGGCCACGATGGTGTGGCTGTTCCCAGGACTGGGGTGCAAGGAGAGCGAGAGGTTGGAGATGAGCTGGGCTTTCAGTTCCGCGATGGTGACCTTCTCGTCCACCACCGTCACCAGGGTCTCCCCGAGGACGGCCTCCATGAGCGGAGAGACAACCTGCCAGAGAGAGGAAAGGGTTCGTGGTCGTTCGTGGCCAAAGAATCCAAAGAAGAACCAGCTGCCCATTGGCACATTAGCTTCAGACAGCAGGACCCCCATATCCGCGGGATCAGTATCCGCTGATTCAATGATCCACTGCCTGAAAATATTAAATGAAAACCCCCAGAAATACATATTTACATGTTTTTTCAAGGTTGGGGCTTGGAACCGATCCACCGCAGAGATGGCGGTCGTATGGTATTTTAAAATGCCTATAAATAGCTCGGAGGCAGGACAGAGACCTGCATCCACAAGACCAACCCCGATGGATAAAACTAAAGCCCCTTCTTGTCCTCCCCGTTATAGCCCTTTGGTTTCGTCCAGCAGGAACCACTGAAACCAGGAGCTGCCACCGCATTTCATAGAAGCACAGAACTCTACGGCCGGAAGGGACCTCGAAGGTCCTCAAGTCTGTTGGAAGAGAGGCAGGATGCGACCCAGCCCGTGTCCCTATGTCTACAGTGGACCCTCGACTTACAGACGGCTCGACCTACAGACTTTTCGAGTTACAGACTTCTCTGGCTGCAAAATTTAGATTCGACTTGCAGCCAGAGAATCGACGTACAGACCAGAAAAAAACCAAAATGGAATAAAAATAGAATAAAAACCACTGGTTATGGGATTAATTGGTTTTCAGTGCATTGTAGGTCAATGGAGATTTGAGTTACAGCCTTTTTGACTTGCAGCCACCATCCCAATACGGATTAATTCCTTAAGTAGAGGGTCCACTGTACAAGAAGGATGAAGTCGTGGCATTTACTTATTGAAACTTGTGTAACCCTCACCCAAACTGAACTTCAGGAAGACTTTTCCTGACAGTAGCAGAGGGTTGACAGTGGCAAGGGGGGTGTCCGTCCTCCTCCATTGAAATCTTTTCCAAAGAACCTAGAGGGCCATCCATCAGAGGTGCTTCATCTGTTGATTTCTATGTGCCATATGGGCTCGCGGGGGTTCTCCACCCACGCCTCTCTCTTCCTCCTGCTCCGGAACCAACTTGAGGCCGGCGGCTTCTCATCTCTTCCGCGTCTCACCTTGAACAGAGTGGTGCCCGGCTCCCGGCCAGCCAGGGTGTTGCTGTCCACCAGGTGGGCCACCCGGATGTCCTCCACCTTCATGAAGTCACTGACCAGGTCGGTGACCTCCACCATCCACTCGGGACCCAGCATGGTGACCACTTGGTCGGTGCCCTCCGAGGAGGTGGTGTGGAACTGGGTGAAGACCTGCAGGGTGCTGTGCTGGTACTGGAGGGTGCAGCCTCGGCTCTGCCGGCGCTCGTCCTCCTCTTCGTCATCCTCGCTTTCCCGGATGGACCTGGAGAGAGAGAGAGAGAGACCCGTGGAGTCAAAAGCAGCTAGGACTAGGCAATCAGGAAGTACTGTACGTTAGTGGTCAACTCAGATCTGACACAGCTCTCCTTTTTTGGTCTACACTTTTTCCTGCAACACTGGGGCGGCTTGCCAATACCCCCCTACTTTCAGGCTCAGAATCTTTCAGGGGTCCTCAAGCCAACAGCTCCATTAATAGCATTTTAAATCTCTTTCCTCGGTGGCTTGCGTAACAACAAAGCAAGAGCATTTTCGCTCGCAGGCTTTCGGGTGCACCATCAGAGACAACGTGGTGGCACAAGATGGGGAAAAAAGATGAGGAGGGAAGAGGAAGAGGCCAATGGTCTTTCAGCAAGATCCTGACATTCACAATTTATATATGTCTAGAAACACCACTTTATACATTCTACAGTGGAAAAGGGATGAGTGTGTGGCATAGAAAGGTTGCGATGCTCCGAAGTCCGGAACATGCATCTTAATCCATATTGACTCCAGTTCTGCAGAGGCGGTGTGACCACTCCAGGTTTTGCTCCAAACTTGACAGGAGTGGTCCGAGGTGCTGGGACCTATCTTCACCCCAATAGATTCAGCAGGTTGGACAGCTCCTGACAAGTCTGACCTTGGCTCTAAATCCTAGAACAAATTCACATCTCCCGCTGTGTTGAGAGTCACCCGCCTGTCCTGGTCTGAACTGGACTAGGCCTCTGTTCAAAGGTACTCTGATCTCCCCTCCAGCCCACCTCCGGTCGGGTAAGATCGGAACTCGCCACCCCTTCACTTGGCTGAGTCTTGCGTCAGACAGCTCAATGTGCAGCGGGAGTTTGGGGACCCAGACGGTCATTTCCAGCAAGGCGCTGAGATGCTCGTAGCTGAAGGACACCCCGGCGTTCATGGAGCCCCGTGACTCTTTGCCGCTCACGAAGACATAATCACAGCCGTTGGAAACCTGGAGGGGAACAGGGAATGAAGAAACAATTCCTTTTGGATAAATAACCTGCAAAATTCACAAGAGTTCTTCAAATGCCACAGAAATAATGTGACATTTGAAGAACGTTTTATTAGGTTAACCTGAAGGATTTAAGAGCAGTCGCAAGATGACTGTTGAGTCTTAGTTCAACAGGAGGCTGGTAGCTCCTGTGCATGTGGGGTGTTGAATGTGTTTTGGGTTTCGGTCCGAACTTTGAAACCCTTTGGATATGAGAGAAGAAGTCGTTAAGAGATTCCGCCATGGCTCAGACAAGTTAACTCTCAACACTCTAGTTTTGATGCTTTAATTTGTGGATCCACATTAGTGTTGAACTAGGGTTTACACCTCTCCCCCCTCTCTCCAATATTTGAAATATTCACAGTGAGGACCATCCTTCCCCTGAGAGAAACGTCAATTTGGCCAATGGAGGTGAAGGGAAGAGTTTCTAATTTTTCCCCCTTCTTTTCTGGAAGACTTTTTAAAAAGCAGACCAAAATTTTCTTTTAAAAGTTGCCTGAAAAGGAAGCAAACTTGAGAGCATTTCCCATTCCGAGAGGTGAGATGAACGAAGTGGGTTGTTGGTTTTTTGTTGGTTGGTTGGTTTCTTTGAAGCTGGTATGGGGCATTTCTGCTTTTTGAAAGCCTTTTGGAGATTTCCCTGAGGATAAATCCCAAGAGGAACCGTAGGTAGGATGATAAAAGTGAGGTTTTTCTCCCAACTCATTGGGGTCCATTCCTGCTTTTGGAAAACCTTGTTGAGAGTTCCCGTAAAATAAATGCCCTGTTTTGAAGGAAACCTTTTTGCCTCTGTTTCTATTTCTGGACTGTCTTTTGGCCATCGCTGTTCCACTGATTGTTTTGAACTATCCTATTAGATGTGTGGGGGTTCGAGAAGAGGAGAGGCGGTAGATAAACCATGAAATAACCATGAAGACAACAAGAGCAACCGATGAGACCTGCCAGGTCATTTCTGGAACACCAGTGAACAAATTCAAAACAAGGTTGTGGGGGATGCCTCGTCTTGGGTTAGAGTGGGGGGGCATATAAGGCATCTTCATTTCATTGGGTTGACCTGAAGAATTTAGGAGTAGACATTTGGCTCCTTGAAGGACAAGCTGGTCCTCGCCTCCAAGGTACACAAGCCAGCCAAGATGGCAACTGAGTCTCAGTTCAACAGGAAGCTAAGTGTCCGAACTTCGGGTTTCTGTCCGAACTTTGCTGAAGTGATCCAAGAAGGTGGGCCCTACTCACCCCCTGTAATGAAGTTCAGCACTTTGGATAACATTTTATGGACTTTGTTCCTAACCTCTGCTCTTCTCCCTGTAGAGAGGCCCAAGGCAGCTTCCAAAAAGTGTCACATCTTTAAAGTTCTGGCTAAAATCCCGGGCAGATACACAGCTTCACTGACACTGCAGCCAGCCGTCTCCCCTGACAAGGGCCCCTGATTCCCCCCCCCCCGAGTCCCAACTCATGAAGAGAGCAGGTGTGAATAGCACTCTTCCTTTTCAGGCGGAAAGTCTAAATGCAACTCCCAGTTTTAGCAGAAGCTGTAAGAAGCAACGTTAGCTGTTTGGACCTCCATGCGGAGGGGAAACCAGGTGGCACCTCCTTGTCCTAATCCTATTTTGCATACATAAGTTAAAGGTAAAGATTCCCCTTGACATTTAGTCAAGTCGTCTCCGACTCTAGGGTGCGGTGCTCATCCCGGTCTCCAAGCCGTAGAGCCAGCACTTGTCCATAGATAGTTTCCATGGTCACGTGGCCAGCACAACTAGACATAGTATGCTATTACCTTCCCACTGAGGTGGTACCTATTTATCAATGCACATTTTTACACACTTTCGAACTGCTAGGTTGTCAGGGACAAGCGACAAGAGCTCCCTCCGTCACGTGGATTCAATCTTACAACGGCTGGTCTTCCGACCTTGCAGCACAGAGGCTTCTGTGGTTTAGCCCGCAGCACCACATTAGCAAATCAGTGGCCCCAATGCTGTTGTCATTTACATAAGGTGTGTGTCACTTCCTGCGGCTAATTGTGGAGGTGTTGGGATCCATCTCCATTGTGCACATGACCATGCACCCAACTGCATAACCCCGATGGGCCCAGCACCTCATCAATTAGCTGCAGTTAGCCCCTGTAAGTTAGGCACATCATAAGGTTCTGGTCCAAGTCTTCTTTTCTGGACGTTTTTGGTGAGGCATGACTTGCAGTCCTGGCTTGAACTGGAGAGGACTTACCCTTGTGTCGTCCAGGCTACCAGTTATGAGCCCCTCCTTGGAGGCTGCACCCATCCCAAATTCCTTCTCTCATCTCTTTGAAATGGCACTCGCTAGCTAAGCTACTTGTGTGTGTGTGTGTGTGTGCGCGCTTCCACCTTATTGGGATCTATTTCTTCTTTATTCCCGTAGGGCGCCTTGAGGCAGGCTTTGCTGTCCAAGAGACACAAGCTCAGCAGGTCTCAGACAATCTCGGCTTGGCATCGGAATAAAAATGAGCCCGACGGATGCATCTCTGGATATTGTGTCATTCATCAACATAAAGACGGGATGTGCTGTCGCCCGCAGCCCCAGCGCTCATAAACCTACTCGCCGCCAATGCAGGGCTTTGCTACCCCTCCTGGACTTTAGGGACTGGCTGATAACAACGTCTGCATTGCTAAAACCACCTGAGAGAGGATCTCAAAGAGTCCACGTTTTCACCACCTTGGGGGAATACCCTTCATAGGAAAAAAACGAGCGTCTTTTCTTGGTTGCACTGAGATCTACCGGGCATAAGCCGGACCCACAGGGAAACGAAAGTACACGGAGGGTGTCCGGCTCTGGCCCCACCACCCTGGACTTTTCCACAAGGTGAGTGGCATCGTTCAAGTTGCTGGTCCCTCGCTCCCAACACCACGATTGGCAGCCTAATTTGCCACCATCAAAAGCAGATACATATTAGCAAAAGTCCAAACGGTAACAAAACGTCTGCCAGGATTTCCAAGGAGGTTGTGAGAATGTTGAGAAAGCAGCCAGACCACTAAAATCATCATCAGTGATTCTGCACATAAACCCATCAGAGAATCAAAATCCAGCTGTTCCCCCTGTAAAGAGGGAGACAACCAGGACTTTACGCTAAGGAAGCACATTCTGGGAGCCTCCTTTGCCCTAGGGGGCAGCTATAATCTGGATTTTCCCCCTCTTTTGCAAAACGAGGGTTTCTAAATCTAAAATGCTAAGGATAAAAATAAAAGTTTTTTTGGTAAGGTTTCCTGATGGCAAAAAATGTGGTTCTTTCATTCTCGTGCAAGAGGAAACAACCTCACATGGGTTAACTGGTTTCTTGACATGTTGAATCATCCTTTTTCACCGAGGATGAGAAAATCTGTGAGTAAGCATTACCAGGGATATTTTTGGACTACGAACCCCACAATTCTTCACTCTGGGAGTTCTACCTGACAGGCGCTTTACAGGCAACAAAATGGGGCTCGCTTGGGAGCAAAGCCTCACCTGGAAGGTTTCGAGGCTGAGCCTGGCCCAGGTCCACCCAAACATCCTGTCCAGAAAGGAAGCTCCCAGGTAGCATCAGGGCAGGAACAGGAAGCTTGGATAGAGCTGAGGCTAGCTCAGCATGAAATTGTCCAAAAAAATCCAAAAATCCAATCCAGGGGGTCAGACTGGATGGCCTTAGAGACCCCTTCCAACTCCATGATTCTAGGATTCTGTGCTTCTACATTCCTTAAGTTCCCCATCTCGGAAAGTGTAAAATGGAGATTTCTGTAGGAAATCCGATGACTTTCTTTTCTTCTGGTGTGTGTATATGTGTGTGTGTGTGTGTGTGTTGAACTCGAGGCCACAACCAAACTGTGCACTTCTAAGGCACGGAGGCAGAATAATAGCCCTCGCAGCAACTCCCTGTTTTGCTGGAGGCTTCTTCCTGGCATCCCTCAAGCTCCGAGATCGATAGAGCTACTCCTGTTGTTTATACCCGCCTGTGTCGTACACACCCCGGGAAACCAGGAGACAGCCTGCTGACGAGGACGCCACCGCTCTCCTTAATGCTGAATTATTTACAGTAACAGATAGCGGGTGGCCTGATGGATGGCGCCGGTTTATGGCCCTGACGGGGAAATCGCCCCGTCTCCCATCGCTCCAGGTACACTGGCTGGGCTGCCAAACGTACATAACGCGACATAATTCAACGGGGGCCAGAGAGAGAGAGAGTGAGAATATGTGCAAGGACTTAATGGAAAACAGAAGGTGAGGGGCCAGTGGCTTGATAAACGATTCATTCCTGTGCACCCGGCTCAGACGCACGCACTCTCCTGTTCTTGTTCCTTGCACCCTACCGCCGTTCCCCAAGAGTGGGCGGGGGGGGGAACAGACAGCCTCGAGAGAGATTTACAAGCAAGCAAGTAAAATGGTTCTCATGTCTCCGACACGGAAATGGAGAAGCGCTACCGTGCTTATTCAAGCCAAAAAGAAGCATTAAAGATTGCACCAGTAAATCAAGCAGATTATTTTATCCAGATGCGGGGGAGGGAGGAAATTGGCACAAGACAACCCGAGCCCCTGACTTGTCCCTGGGGATCGCCAGGCCATCCTTCTCTGGGAGATCTGACCCTCGCTGAAAAGTAGGAGAGGGGGAGTGTGGTTTGGGGATAAGAATTTGGGAGAGAGAGAGAAAGCAATGCCCCGTGGCCCTGGGCAGGCAGGGTGGATGTCGTCAGGAAGAAGAAGCGGATGGTGCTCATATATCCATGGGACAGTGAATCCGCTCCAGCTTTTAGTCCAAAGCCAAAAGCCCTATCTCTGGAAAATGTCCGCCACCTTGGAAAGCTCCTGTAAGTTTGGACGAAAACACGAAGCGGCTTCATCACCCCCATCGACCCTGGCGCACCTTCCCTAAGCTTGCCCACCCTCCCGTTCAGCCACACAGAGAAAAACTGCACTGTACACACGGTTCAGCTTCTACACTTGAAACGAGAGGGTTTTGCTCCAGATACCAAAATCTCTGATTGGTTCCCCTGGGGTGGCTGAGCATTGCTTGACCGGAGTTATTCAAGGTTCTAAACCAATTTTGGGGGGGCGTGGTTCAGCCACTTGGGCAGCTTCCGTAAAGTCTGGACTAAAACCCAGAGGGGATTCGCTCCTGTCCTTGCTGTTGTGGGTAGTGAGAGAAGTTATTCAGTACTGTAGGAAGGTCTTGAAGAAGGCGGACTTCCCAGGGCTGGCTTCCACCCCCCACCCCACCCCACCCTCTTCCCGCTTCGCTCACCTACCTTGATGATATCCTCATTGCTGGACTTGCACTTCACAAGGCCCGAAACGTCCATGGTCGCCCCCGTCATCTCGATGGCAATGACCTTCACCGGGATGGCCACCGTCCTCCCTGTGAGGATGGCTGTGTTGATGATCTCTGTGTCCTAGGGTAGTGAAAGCAGAAGTGTGTTAACTCACCTCTTACACAGACTTTTACACACACCAGATTTTGGAAGAAATCCATTACTTAAGATCCTGATGGCCTGCAACTTGTCATGCTCGGTCTGCACAACAGGGACAGATTTGGCAAGTCCTCAAAACCGTCATCATCCTAGCATTCTTGGCTTCTTATTTCTATGTCCTCTTTTAAGTAAGTCCAACAAGGTCAATAATATTATAACATCACCATCGTCATTATTATTATCCTCTTGGAACTGCAGAAGCTGGAAGGGTCCCCATGGATCATCGAGTCCGGCCCCTGTCAAGGAGACACCGGTGTGTGTGTGTGTGTGGGGGGAATCGAACCCCCGACCTCTGGCTCCACAGCCAGATGCCCAAAACCACTGAGCTATGTCCTCTTCCCCCTCCTCCTGCTGCCTTGGCCTCACAATGACGTCGAGAGGTAGGTTTGGCTGAAATAAGAGTCACTACGTGAGGCAGGAACCCAGTTCTGCCAGGTTTTAATTCGGCGGCTCTAACCACTACACTATCCATCCAGCCATCGGGGCAAAATGATTTAGAGTATCAGACCAGGACTTGAGAGATTTGGGTTGAGGCCCCCACCAGACCATAAACTTGGCAAGTTGGCCCTAAACCACTTTTCCCCCCTTTCTGTCTTTCACTCAGCCTGGCTTAGCTAACAGCGATGTTTCTTCGGGAAAGCAGAAAAAGCTCTGGTCGGGGCTGCATGAACTGTCCCTGCCTTGGAATCTGGGGTGAGTTATAAATACTACCAACAAGTTGCAGAATCTTCTGGGTTCTTAAGGGTGAACGAATTTATTATGGCTTTAGTTTCTCTGATTTTCAGCATATGCACGATTCTTATATCTGTGCAAGTCATCTCTGGCTTACGGCAACCCTATGAAGGACTGACCTCCCAAGGGTTCTGTCCTGAACGGCCCTGCTCAGGTCTTGCAAACTCAAGACTTGTGGCTTCCTCGGTGAAGTTGATCCCTCTCATGTTTCGTCTCCCTCATTTCCTGCTGCCCCCAACGTTGTGATCCTGTCGTGATGAATCCAAAACGTTCCCGCCTTGATTTTAATCCTTTTGGCCATGGATCTCATCAGAAGCATGAGACCCACAGAACCTCTTGACAGAATAAACTGGTGCGCTTGGCCCCATTAAAATAAACATTTAATTTATGGGTTAATTTTTCTGGATTATCGTAGTCTATTTACACTTGGGGGTATTGCTTTGTTTCCTAATATTTCTGAGAGCTTTCAGAATTTGAGGGCATCAGTGGTGAACATTATAATAAAACCATGGCTCTAATGTTTTGGGGGTTTTTTAATTGCTCGGGAGGGGTTGGCCTTGGGGCCATATGGGGCTGAGGGCTATACTGTGCTTCCCTCTGGCGTAAATGGCTACACATTCATTTCTTCCAGCATTATTAGTATTTAGGCCTTCCCCCAAGCTACGATGGCAGCCATGAACAAGGACATTAAAACAAAGGTAGCGAATAAATTAATAAGAAACCGTCAGGCTTCGGCAGCCTGGGAAACCCCAGCTTTAATTGTGGGAATTAAAAGGATAGGAAGAAGCATCGGAGCAGGTATCCGGGTTCGAGGCAGAGAGGGAGGGCAAGGGGGAGACTCACCATGGCTAAAGGGAGGATGGCCCGGATATCCCTCTGGATCACGGTCAGCTCCGTCACGGCTTTCTCCAGGTCTGGCGGTGGGCTGCGGCCCCGGTAGTCAATGTGCCACATGATGCGCCGGGTGACCGACTGGCTGGTGAAGTTCTCCATCTCAAACTCCAGCTGCATGATCTCGTACGGGGCATCATCCTCCCTGTGGGGAGGCAAGGTGACCATCACTCCGGTGGAAGCACAGATCCGTATCCACTTTCTGGCAGGTTTCTTTCCACAAGGGAAGGCAAAAAGCAGGCGCTCCGGTGTCAGGAGGCTGACAAATCCTGCTCCGGGTTTTAGTCCGAACTTTACGGGAGCTTGCTGAGTCTGCTTTGGAAATAGGATCTGGAACCCCAGAGAGCTCCGGCTAAGTTCACACTGGACCCCAGACCAGATTCACTGTCCCTTCTGAAGTCAGAATCACTGGTTGATGATGGTGTGCCGGACTACAACTCCCATCCCTCCACAGCCAAGAGATAGAAGTTGTAGTCCAGGGTATGAGAGCTGTAATCCAGCATATTCAGACTGGGAGGCATGCCTCTGATGGAAACCAGAGGCTCTCTGGCCAATTTTCAGATCCATGTTAAGATGAGGGTGTCCATAACAGACAGAACGTGATTCCCATCCCTGTGTCATAGAAGGGCAAGAGGAAGTAGTGGCTCTAGCCTACAAAACAGGCTCAGCAATAGGGATGGGATTTTCAGATTTCTTGGACTACATATCCCATAACTCCCCATTCTGGGAACTCTACCTGACTTACTCACACCTAACAGAAATTTAAATATGGCTCGCCTGGAAGAAAAGGCCTCACTTTGAAGGCCCTGAAGCTTAGCTGGGCCTAGCCTCCACCCAAAGCTTCCTGTTCCTGCCCCAGTGCTAGCTGGGAGCTTTCTTTCTGAAGAGGAAGTTAGGCCTAGTTCAGCCTCAAAGCTTGACAGCTGAGGTCTTTTCTCCCAGGTGAGCCGCAGTTAGGGGTTATCTGTGAGGAGTCTGTCTATCAGATAGAAGGAAGGATGGGATTTGAAGTCAATTTTAAAAAAAACAATGCCATCTTTGCAGTACCGTGGCTCGCTGTGTCAAAGTTCCAACTAAAACACAGAGCAGACTTTGCCACACCTGTGACACTGGAGACTCTGCTCTCTCTGCGGACCGATCCATCTGAAGGGTAGCAGCTTGAGAAAGGCTGTGGGTTAAAAGAGAGGCTAGGGAACAAAAAAACCCAGCCTCTTGCAATCTGTTTGAGCCGTTCCAGATGAGGCTCGTCGGCGGTTGAGCCGGCCGGCCGGGTGCTCCTCAGATCCGTTGCGTTCATTTATTCAAGATACGCATCTGGCGCCCTTCCGGGTGGCTTCCATCAAAGCCGTCTCGCCGAAAACATGATTAAAAATTCAAGAATGTTAAAATACCAGAGTCCTACACGCGAGGGGGGCAAGCATCCAGCCAGGCAATGAAAGCCACCTGTTCCAAGCTGCAACGTGGCCTCCTTTTTTTCCCCAACGAAGCAGAATTAGGCAGGGATAGACTGCCCCTGGCCATTCAAGTTCCATCCATTAGAATCCTGGCTAATTACTCACTTCTATCCTGCAGGAATCTGAAAGGACACTTTCAGCCTGATTCGCCAGGTCTCGTTTAATTCAGTTCCCCGGAGCCACACAGCAAGGGATGGGAAGCCCAGATCTCGCTTCACTCCATAATCATTAGGGACAAGATTTCTGGATTTCTCGGACTGCAGATCTGATGAATCTTCATTCTGGGCCCCCATCCGGCAGCCAGACACCTTACGAGCACCTAAATGCGGCTCACCCGGGACAAAGGGCCTGAGCTAAGCCTACCTCCGTTCAGAAAGGAGGTAGAAAAAAAGCTCCCAGCTAACAGTGGGGTAAGTCAGGGAGAACTACCAGAATGGGAAATTATGGGATATTTAGTCCAAGAAATCCAGAAACCCCATCTCCAATAATAACATGCTGAACATTATTGCTGAAGACTGAATACCTGCCCTTTGTGTTTACCTCTTCCCTCCCATTTCCATTTCTTTTATGCTATGTCTTGGTAGAAAAAAAGCTCCCAGCTAACAGTGGGGTAAGTCAGGGAGAACTACCAGAATGGGAAATTATGGGATATTTAGTCCAAGAAATCCAGAAACCCCATCTCCAATAATAACATGCTGAACATCATTGCTGAAGACTGAATACCTGCCCTTTGTGTTTACCTCTTCCCTCCCATTTCCATTCCTTTTATGCTATGTCTTTTCAACTTTTAAGTCCGCAAGCAGACATGCTGAGATCTCTATACTGCTCAGGGAGAGTTTAAGGGTGGAGATAGAACACAGTCCCTCCAAAGTGTTGAAAATATATATATTCAACACTTTGGGGATACTAAATATAAAGAGGCAGCATGTGTCGTTCTGCCAACTCCTGCAACATTGCTGGAACCAGTTGTATTGGCTCTTGCCTTTCCATTGGACCATTTCAGCAATGTGGAGAGGGGGGATCTGCTGCTTGGGTAACAGCCTATCCTCCATATTACCTTACCCGGGCTTCATGCTCTGGAGAGGACACTCCTCGATTCAGAGCATGTTACCATAGTCTCTCGAGACTGAAGGATGTCTATGCTATGTCTTTTCAACTTTTAAGTCCGCAAGCAGACATGCTGAGATCTCTATACTGCTCAGGGAGAGTTTAAGGGTGGAGAGAGAACACAGTCCCTCCAAAGTGTTTAATTTATATATACTGTATATAAAAAAGTGTTAAGTGATTCACCAGAATAGCTGAATGTGCAACAGTGGTTAACATCATTAAAAGACAATATTTAAAACTACAGAATAAGGAGGCATCTTGTATCATTAATAG